TCGTGCAGCTCGCTCTGCCCTGCTGCACCTTTCCGTTGTGCCCGGGAGGAGGCAGCACCGCAGAGCACCAGCCCATACCCTCAGGCCCAGCGGCCTGCCCTTGCACAAGGAGAGCTGCAGGGTTCATTTGAGGGGATGCCGGGAATCTGCCTCTCCACGTCCATTCTCCTGCCCTGAATCACCGGGGCCTCCTGTGTGCAGGGGAGCATGGGGCGCTGCAAGGCTGGGGGTGGCTGTATTAAAGCCAACGCCACATGAAGCCGCCTTCTCCTGTGCTCTGGAGCCTTGTCCCTGTACCACGGGGAGGCACTGGCGGAGGTCACCCCCAGCAGCGCTGTCTGGACCTCCCCCATCTCCCTCCACCACTGTCCGCTCCTCAGGAGGCAGAGGATTCAGTGGGGCCAGGTCACCCTCAACAGAGCTAAGGCGAATGCTTGCACTGTGCTGGGGGTTATATTAGGAAATGGCTGGGCCTGTCTGAGCAAGATCCAACCCCTTTCTCTGTATTCAGGTCCTTGCATGTTACAGGGGAATCCCTTGATTGATAGCTTTGTATCTGCTTCTGCAGAAGCTCTGACAGCCATCCCCTGGGGGCATTCAGCCCAGGTCCCATTAGATACAAATCCCTACCTGCCAGCAACCCCATTGAGTGGCTGATTTTCTGGCTGGCACATTTATGTCTGCTGTTCAGAGAACCCAGCCCCTGGCTGGCACCCAGGCTCTGCCTGCACTAGCTGTGAAGAGTTTTCCTACCCGTGAATAGTGTCTAGGCATTGCCGTCATCCCCTGAGGTCTGAACCACTTTGCTGGGAGCACCCCAAGGCCTGTTTGCAGACGTAGGAGCCCCTGGGAACCAGAAGGGCACAAAGCTGTAACCAGGCGCTAGGACAGTGAGATAAGCACCTCGCTGCCCCGTGCTACCGAATTCCTACTTCACAGTATATGAAGATGCAGGGCCAAGGGCTGGCTCCTAACTAGCACTGGCCTGAGAGCTGTGAGGCTTATCTGCTTCCCTGGGACTCTTGCAGGAGTTGGCTACAAATGTGCAACTCGGGATCCTTAAAATTCTGGTTTATTAGGCAGATTGAAACACTGTAATGAGTTAAATCATAAACCTTGGGGCTGGTCCCCCCACACACACACACAGTAGCAAGCTACAGAGTCAGGTATACCTATCCTACAAGCGCTGGAGTCTGCCGTCGATGGCCAGTCGAGGCTTCTTTCAGCGCGGTGTTATCCTCCAGAAGGGGGTTGCCGGCTGGTCCTTCTGGCTGGACAGGTCTGGTTGAGTTGGAGATCAAGAGGGCGCCACTGAGGGTCACTTTTCACTGCCTTTTATCTGTCCCTGGCAGACATTGGTGACTCCCCAGTTTTCAGGTTTGCCCAGTCCAGGGGTCGTTGACCCTCGTGGGACTTCCCCCCCTCCCCCCCCAGTGGCTACTGGACGGCATCTGTCAGCCCCAGGGGTCGTCCACATGTACGTGCAGGTTTGGGAGTCCGTTGATGAATTTTGAATAGGGCTCTGGGAGTGGTCGATCTGGAGATATTCAGCCCAAAAGTTGGTCCCTGGTGTTGATTAACTCAGGCCAGGGCTTCTAGCCCTTGATCAGTGAGGTTTAGAGATGTCCCGGTTGTTACATTGTCTTCTATTGAATTCTTCCCTTGGTTGCTCTGCAGTGTCGCAGGTGTTAATTGCTGTTTGCTGCTACAGTGTTACACATTCAATCACTGATTCACTTGCTCTTTCAGGGGCCAGCCTGATACAGGCAAGGGCAGTTTGATTCCTGCCCTTGTTAACATTGTTACAATGTATAACTTACTTATGAAACTAAAACACATTGAGTTGAAAGGTGAGGAGTATAAAATATAAGCTACAAATGCCATGGCACACAAATAGATAAAAATACCAAACTACAAGAGGAGATACAAAACGCACACATACACATTTTAAAACACAATTCCTTATCTTAAAGTGAAAGAGAGAGGAAGGAAGAAAAGGTAGAAAAAGAGAAACATATCCAAAGAGGGGAGAGCAAATGCAGGCAAGAGGAAAAGGGGGCTTTCTGCTACACAGGGACCTCTGCAAGGAACATGAGACCTGGGGCACTTAGGCACAGAGGGGGACACTGGGAAGGGGACCGGCTGAGCCCTTGGTGTAAGTTGCCCATAGCCCCATAGGAAAGAAGCCACTTCCCAGTCCCCAGCTTCAATACTGTGGGCATCACACCAAAGAAGTCTTGAAGAGAAGCAACACACCCGTTGACCTGGAAAATATATATACACCCAATCCCCCCACACACATACACACTGCCAAAGGTCAGCTGGAATATTTGTCCTTCCCCTAGGACATACCCTTAGGGGCATAAGGGAGCGAAAGCCCAGAAGCAGCTCCCATCTGGGTTTCTGAAGTCCCCTTGGGGACATGGTACAAGGCATGTGTGTGAGAGAGGTTGATATTGGGTGGATTTCAGGCCAAACTGCAGCACTTGGCTCTGGATTTTACAGCTCCAGCTTTATACATCTGGGTGCAAATGGATGTCCCTGGAAACTATGGCTTGTATTTATTTATGGTAATGGTTAGAGGTAAGGCCTCTTTGTGCCAGGGGCTATGCAAATTGGTGCAGGATGGTGAAAAGAAACTGCCTGTGGAGGGACAGACCAGTGGGTCTGGCAGGGGAGATAATGCTAGTGACAGCTATGGGTGGATGAATTCAGTGTCGGTGGTCACAGCATCACAGATGCATGCTGCATGTCACTTTTGGGGGGAGCCACCTTCACTGACATCTGCAAAGGTGTTCAGCTTCCCCCCTGGCCTCAGTCTCTCTGTGCTTCCCTGGTGCTGCATGGGGAAGATGCTTCCCTGTCTCAAAGCAGGGTAATGTCGCTTGATTGCCCTGAGGTTCCTGCAGTGGCTGGTCCACTCTATATCTGGCATGACAGCTGCTGTATAGTTGTCCCACAACCCCTCCTGCATGCACAGTGCCATATCTAGACTCCTGGCAGCCCTGGGCAAATTTTTAGCATCAGGCCAGAGATAATGATGATAATAATCAGACTTGTTGCAAAAGTCTTTATCACATCTGTGATATATCTGATGTCTTTAAATAGTTCATTCTCAATTGATAACATTGCCAGTCCCTTATATGCACAATATTAAAACTTTTTGTTACAATTGTAATTAAAAAAAAAAAAATTAGGGCCCCCTTTCTGACCTGGCCCCAGGCAGCTGCCTGGTTCGCCCATGCCTGTGTCCAGGTCTGTGCATGCATCTGAAATCAGTAAAGATTTGCAATTTAACGCAAGGATCTCCTGCATACTAAGCGAGAGGGTAGCAGAGAGTCCTCCAGATGGCAGATGGAGCAATTCTGCAGCTGGTGAAACCAGTCTCCTTTAGGCAACGCACCTTCCTCTTCCTCCTTCCGTTCTGGGTAGCCACATGACAGCACAGCAAACCAGGAAGGGTGAGAGCAGCTGCATCCCAGCCTGGGAGGAGGCAGAGGCTCCCATCCTCCCTGCTTGGGGAGGGGGGAAGAGGGTTTAGAGTGGGATCAGCCCATGGGGTAGAGAGGAAACAATATTGGATAAGAAAGCCTGACGGGGCCTGGGACGGATTTGCTCTTAGCAAGGGTCGGAGTGGTGGGGAGGGATCCTGTAATGTAGGGCTGTGATCTCTCCTGATTAATTAGGAATGATCACTGATCTAAAGCATCACAATTGCCCTGGGCCTGGTTTTAGCCTGGATGCCTGGCTTTTGTCCTTCCATCCTGGAGCCCCGCTGGCTGTCGGCTAAATTGTACGTAAGGGCATGAATTTGGAAACAAGCATGGAGCTGATTCTGTATCTACTGCTTGAAAGGGACGCCCAGTGCAAGAGTCAATCAGTGCATGGGTTTCTCATGCGGAGGGTTGCTTTTAAAGGGGCTTTCTTTTGTATTGGAGGCTGGTTCGTGGTTTCTTCCTCTGCTGCAAAACAGCCTTGTGCTCGAGAGAGTTTGGAAAGACTGGAAGAGAAAACCTGCAGCTATTTGCAAAATGCAAAGGCTCAGGCAGTGCTTATGGGCATGTGTTGAACTGAATGGGTGCTGATGTTTGTGGATTACAGGCTGATTCTTTTCTTTGTATTTTAAGGCACAAGACAGGAAGACATTGACTTGTCCTGCTAGGCTTAAATGGCACTCGATGGGCAGAGCAGATGCAGGAGTGAGGCAGTCCTGAGAGCTGGCATTTTCCTGCCACAAGGCTTCTGGATTCAGAGGCCTTGGCTATAGCTGTGGACGGTAACCTGAGGTATATGCTGACTGCCCTGCAGAGGCGGAGAGGTAATTGTACAGGGTCAGGAATAGGTTTGACTGGTAACCTGGACCATGTTCAGCCGGTCAGGATACCAAGCCCTTCCCTTGGGAGACTTTGACCGCTTCCAGCAGTCCAGCATCGGGCTCTACGGATCTCAGAAGGGCTTCTTTTCTTTCGGGCCTGCGCAGGACCCAGTGGCTCAGAACCAGAATACAACAGGTGAGGATGGGCATGGGGAATGAGGGTCCAGGGCATCATTCATGTGGGTTATTATAACTCCTGGGTATCTGAGTCCCCCCTTGTTCGCATGAGGCTGAAACTGGGGGGAGTGAGAGCAGAATACGGCTGTATTATTTTGGCATTTGGGCGCTGGAAAAGTGTAGAGTGAAGGGGGGTGCAAAAGGAGGGAAGGAGGAGGGCCCTACCTATTGACTGTGCTAATTCTGCTCTCATATACTGTATATGACATATATGCTCTGTGGCAGGAGTCAGGTCAGAGCATGGCCCTGTTTCCATGCTTCGAGGTGTGCGGGTGTTTGCTTTCCCTGGAAGGCTGCTTTCCCAGTTTCAGCCTCTTGTAACTCGGGGGAAGCCTGTGGGGTCAAGGTTAGACTGCTCAGAGGTGTATCTGGCCAGTTCTTCCCCTGGGTGATGGCAGCACACATTGCAGGAGCAGTGGCCAGAGGTTTGCTGCTGTGGGTGGAAGATGTCACCTTTGGTTTTTGCCATTGACAGGCATGTCAATTAAGGGAGGTGACACCATGTGCCACCACTGCACTCATGGCCATCTGGGCTGACTCCTTGGGTTTCAGGGGATCCATGATGGTGGGACTGAGCAGGCTGAGGTCTGTGGAGTTTCATCTCCTCCAGGCTTTTGGGGCTGGTGACATTCTGGGGGCACCCTTGTCTCTAGGAATGGATTCCGGGTACTGGCTTCCCTCTCAAGGGTAGTGCTGATGGACACCTCCATGGATAGCCTCTCCTCGTAGGGCCTGCCCTGCTGCCCCCTAACTATGCAAGTGGCCCTCCTCTGGACCCTCTCCATGTTGTCCACATCCCTCCTGAAGTGCAGCGCCCAGAACTGGACGCAGTACTCCAACTGCAGCCTGACCAGTGTCGCATAGAGGGGGAGGATCACCTCCTTGGCCCTGCTTGTGATGCATCTGTGGATGCATGACAAGGTGCGGTTAGCCTTACTGACTGCATCCTCACATTGGTGGCCCATGTTCATTTGGGCATCAATAATGACTCCAAGATCCTTTTCTGCCTCTGCACTGATGAGAAGGGAGTTCCCCAGCCTGTAGGTATGCTGCTGGTTCTTCTCCCCCAGGTTCAACACCTTGCACTTGTCAGTGTTGAATCCCATCCTATTCTCATCTGCCCACTCCTGTAACCTGTCCAGATCTAGTTGTAGCCTGTCCCTCCCTTCTAGCATGCCCACCTCTCCCCACATCTTAGTGTCGTCTGCAAATTTGAACAAGGTGCTTTTCACCCCCTTGTCCAAGTCGCTGATGAAGATGTTGAACAGTGCGGGCCTAAGGACAGAGCCCTGGGGGACCGCACTGCCCACATCCCTCCAAGTTGAAAATGACCCGTCCACCACCACTCTCTGGGTGCAGCCCTCTAGCCAATTTGCCACCCATCTGACTGTGTAGGCATCAATGCCACAGTCACCTAGTTTTTTAATGAGAATGGGGTGAGAGACAGTTTCGAAGGCCTTCCTAAGGTCCAGAAAGACTACGTCCACCGCAACACCTGCATCCAAGGATTTTGTGACCTGATTGTAAAAGGCAACCAGGTTGGTCTGACACAGGGGTGGGCAAAATGTGGCCCGGGGGCCAGATGCAGCCTGCCAGGCCATTCTATCTGGCCTGCTGAGTCCCTGCAAAATTAAGAAAATTAATATTTATCTGCCCCTGGCTGCCTGTCATGCGGCCCTCAATGGCTTGCCAAAACTCAGTAAGCGGCCCTCCGCCCAAAATAATTGCCCACCCCTGGTCTGACAGGACCTGCCCCTAATGAACCCATGTGGATTGCTGCTGAGCATAATCTCCCCTGCTGGTCCCTTGCAGATGTGCTCCTGGATAATTTTCTCAAAGAGCTTCCCCAGGACCGAGGTAAGACTAACAGGCCTGTAGTTCCCTGGGTCCTCCTTCCTCCCTTTTTTGAAAATGGGGGACCACTTTGGCTTTTTTCCAGTCCTCTGGCACCTGGCCAGAGCACCACAAGTGCTCGTAAAGCCGTACCAGGGGCCCCGCAACGACCCCTGCCAGATCCCTCAGCACCCTGGGGTGGAGAGCATCTGAACCTGCTGACTTAAACATGTCCAGCCCCTCCAGAAGTTCCCTAACTAGGTCCTCCCTGATGCTAGGCCTGGCAGCGCCTCTCCTGAGTCGGTCCTGAATCCCAGTGGGGGAGATGTCCCCGTCTCTGCTCAGAAAAATGGAGGCAAAGAATGTGTTAAAGAGGTCAGCTTTTTTCTCTGGTGCAACTACCAGATTGCCAAGCGTGTCCTGCAGGGGTCCCACATTACCCGGTGCCTTCTTTTTACTCCCTATGTATTTAAAAAAGGACTTCTTGTTATCTTTGATCCTGGTGCTAGGAAAGAGATGTACAATGTGGGTCTTGTTGGTTTCCAGTCAAAGCTCACTGTTGATTTGCATGGCTTGCTGCAAACAGGGTCTCATGGCCTAGTGATTTCCTCCACATTCATTCCCACCTCGCTCATCCTGTTCTTGCTACAGATTCTTCCCAGGGCTGGCTGTCATGGATCTGCCATGGGATTGTCACATTTCTGGTCTTTCTGCTGATGGTCATCACCTTCCCCATTTCTGGATGGTTTGCTTTGAAGGTAAGCGGGAAAGAATAACTTGTGCAGGGGCCAGGAAAGCAGGCAAGCTAAATTGTCCGCCCTCTGGTCCTGGTTACCTGGGTGGGCCTGGCTGCCAGTGGCCTTACTGCTTCAGGCTGGCTCCAGGTTCCTGCGTGGGTGTGGACTAAACAGGAGAGATGCCTCTTTGGCCAGCCCTGGGTCCTTGTTTGCTCCTAGTTTCCTGTTCATTGCATCCTGCTTGTTGGCTTCCTGGCTTCCTCCTGGTTCCTGCCTATCTATTCTTGCTTCCAGACTCCCAGCCATGCTGGTACCCCTCACTCCTGACCCGCAGCCCTCTGCCCCACCCCAGCCCTACTGGTGCCCCTCCTGACCCATATCCCCTAACTCTCCGGTGCCCCTCACTCCAGACCTGCAGCCCCCCCATCCCTGTCAGTGCCCATTAGTCCCAACCCACAGCTCCCTACTCCCCCCCAGCCCTGCCAGAGGGGGTCCCCAGCTGCCCCTGAAGGACTCCCCCCTTCCCCTGCTGGAGGGGCAGGTGTCTCTGGGCAGGCCCCGCTGGCAGCAGCATGCAGTTGGTCTCACTAGCAGCACTGAGAGCTGCCTCAGACCCCACTTCTCCGCTGAATCCCCACCCAAACACCTTCCCCCAGTGTAGCACCTGCCCTGCATCTCCACATACTCCTTCCACACACACATCCCCTCCACACCCCACCCTCCCCCACACACACACGTACCCCATGCAGCCCCCAGACAGTCCCTAAGCCCTGGCTCTCCAACTCCTGCCCTCCATAGACTTATCTGCATCTAGCTGCTGGGGCCGCTCCCACCACCTTGCCTTGCTGTAGGCTGGCCATGTGTGTGCGCGCACGCAGATGCATATGGTGCTCCTGCCTCCCATCAGCCTCCCCCCGCACCCCAAGCAACCTCTTTCAGGCTGGAATGCTGCCAGCCTGCAAGGGGAGCCCATCGGTTCCTGCGGTTTTCTCCTTTAAAGGGGAAAATCTGTGATTTTCTCCTTTGAAGGAGGAAATCCACCTTTTTTCCACAGCAAACAGAAAGCTTGCATCCCTGATCACCCATGTCCTGGTCCTGTCTGCTTCAGACCCCCTGGCTAGTGCCACTGCTCTGGATCCCTGCCTCCTATTCTTGACACCCTCAGCCCATGGCTATACACAGGGAAACTGCCAATGCCCCTTACACACCTCAGCTTCCTGGGCCACCTGCCCCTAAGCCCCTGGTACCAGCTGGGAGCCTTGCTTCTCTGCCCTTTCCTGTTCCTGATCCCTGGGCTATGACTCTCTAGGATCAGGCCCTGGCTGCCTGCACCTCAGCTGTGCCTCTGACAGCTCACTTCTATCTGTACAACGCAGGGGGAGGCCTGCTGGGCAAAGGCAGTCATGAGATTTTCTCTTCCTAGAGCATTTTCAGCCAGTGCTGCTACTAGGCTGCACACTGCTGAAGTTTCTCTTATGTACCTGTCACCTAAAACTGTGCCCCTGGGAACAACAGTGGTATCTCCTAATCCGGGCATTTTCTTTGCTCAGCCCCAGAGAGTCAGCTGTGTAGACTGGAGCCAAGATGTGGACTGGAGGCCAGAGTCATTCTCATGTGAGGTGTTGCTCTACAGCAGCGGTGTCAAACTCATCCAGCTCTGCAGGCCAGATGAGTAGTGCAGGCCAGATCCAGAGCACAGAGCTGTGTCCTCTGGCCCGTGAGGACAGCAACATTACTTAGCACTGCCACCCCTTGAGCTGCAGCCAAATTTCTGGGACTGTGGGGAGTCTCACAGGCCATATGACATGGCTGTGCAGGCTGGATGTGGCCTGAGAGCTGTATCTTTAACCCTCTGCTCTAGAACAAAAGGTGCCTATTGCCACATACAGGCTTGTTCCTGGCTTGTCTATAGGATACTAAATTGTGGGGTGAAGTGAACAGGTTGGAACAGTGGGCAGAACTCAATAGGATGGAGTTCAGCAAGGACAAATGCAGAGTGCTGCACCTAGGGTGAAAAAATATCCAGCACACCTACTGGCCGGGAAGTGACCCTGTCAGCAGCACAGAAGCAGGAAGGATCTTGGAGTCATAGTGCACTCCAAGATGAACGCAAGTCGTCAGTGTGATGAAATCATCAGCAAAGCTAACCGCACTTTATCATGCATCAGCAGATGCATGACAAAGAGAACCAAGGAGGTGATACTTCACCTCTGTGTGGCATTGGTCAGGCTGCAGCTGGAGAACTGCATCCAGTTTTGGGCACTGTACTTTAAGAAGGATGTGGATAACCTTGAGAGGGGTCAGAGGAGGACCACTTGTATGGTTAGGGGGTCTGCAGGCAAGGCCCTATGAGAAGAGACTGAGAGACCCGGACCTTCAGCCTCTGCAAGAGAAGGCTGAGAGGTGATCTTGTGGCTGCCTACAAATTCATTAGGGGGATGCAGCAAGGGATCTGAGATGCTCTGTTCACCAGGGCACCTCTTGGGGTAACAAGGAACAATTTTCACAAACTGACAGAGAACAGATTCAGGCTAGACATCAGGAAAAATGTCTTCATGGTAAAGATGGCCAAAATTTGGAATGGGATTCCAAGGAACGTGATGCTCTCCCCTACCTTGGGGGTCTTTAAGAGAAGACTGGATAGGCATCTGCCTGGGGTCCTGCCCAGGCAGGGGATCAGACTCGATGATCTGTTGAGGTCCCTTCCGATGCACCTAGCATCTATGAATCTATGACTTTTCAGCTAAAGACCTGAAAATGTTTTGGAAAAATAACAAATTAAGTCTCTTGTACTTCTCTGTGGTAGAGGCTTTTGTCCCTGTTTAATGGGTGAGGAAAACCAGATGAGAGGGGCCTAGGACCTCCCTGTGTGATGAGCTGAAGCAATGCTGAGAAGCTAGCTCCCCCCCCACCCCTTTCGCATGCTGAAGCCCAGACATGAAGCAGCAGTAGCCAGTTTAGTGTCCCTGAGCATGAACCTAGAGACCCTTTGGGCAGTTTATCTTGGGAGTGCTTCTTGGGGCACCCTCGGGGCAGAGCTCATTTGGGGATACTGTCTGAGTCCTTAGGCTTCGGTGCAAGCTGAGAGGGAGTGAGTGGGACTGGGGCTGGCCACGGCAACAGTACGGACAGGCCCAGACAGTGTGGGTGACAGGCCTAGGGTGACACTGAAAATCGCTGGCAGAGCTGGGGGTTGGATCCAGAGGAACCAATTTCTAGTTCATGTGATCTGAGCGTTATAGAGCAAGGTGTGGCAGGGGCCTTTGCTGGTGAGCTTAACTGGCCAGCAGCTACTGTACACCATCTAGGAATGTACATGTATCATGGGCTGCCTTGGGGATTGGGAGTGAATTTATTTGACATAGCAGATGTAGGATTGTGCTTACAGAGTGCACCCCATCAGGAAACTCTGTGCAACTTACAGGTGAGCAACTTGTACTTCCATCCATCCTTGTTCCCAGTCAGAGGGCATCACTGTTGGGGCAAAATGCCCATCAAAGACATCAGATATATTCTGATTTGTTTTATGTAATGAACCAGACACATGCATGCAGATAGCACAGTTCTCCTTGGGGATTAAACCCATGGCTCTCAGTACCAGAAGTGCATGTGCCTTCTGTTAGTTATAAGCGAGGAGCTCCTTTATCCGTGTGGGCTGTTATATTCCCCAAAGGCCCCATGTTTGTTTCTTCTCCAGACCTTCTGCTTTAAGCACATACATTCCCTTTGCAGATAGTCCCTGCTTACGAGCGAATGATCGTCTTCCGTCTGGGCCGCATCCGGGCCCCCCAAGGGCCTGGCGTGGTCCTGCTTCTTCCATTCATAGACCAGTGGCAACGAGTGGACTTAAGGACTAGGGCTTTCAGTGTGCCACCATGTAAGGTAAGTCCACTGCCAAAGCCATCATAAGCCAGGAAGGTTTCTGTGAAGTGTGTGGTCATTTTTTGAGGCTTTGTGGGAGGAATCAGACCTGAAGAAGCATCACAGCCAAATTCACAGCCTGCCAAGTGTGCATGCTCTGCAGTTATATCCAAATGGGGAAAATCTGGCCCAGCTCACAAACCATTCTGGTGAATCAAAAGCAAAAATAATGAAATCACAGGCTAGTCTCCCCTATAACAGCAGGTTCTAAGGGGAAATCATAGGCTAAAATTATCATAAGCAATTAGTTATCTGGGTGACCTTACCTTCTGAGTGCCCAAATTAAGAGACAACTTAAAAAATCTTGATTTTCCACCCCTCCCCCCAAATTGCTGGTATAACCTCTGAATAATAGTCCTTTTATGGTGTCTTTGAGTAAGTACCCAAAATTGTAACTTAGTTTTGGAAATTCTGCCTGTGGCTTAAATCTTGGGCTCCAAGCAGGTTCGTTTTCTGACTGGATTTCAAAATGACTCAGAGGCATGAGCCCGTTCTTGTGAGCAGAAGTGGTCAAAGTATGTTAGCTGCAGCTCTGTGGGCTCCAACCTGGGCATGTCCTATGTCATGGGCTGGGTGTTTCTGGGATGCGGTAGAATTTGGGTCTGGATAAGCACCCGGAGGTTCATTCAAGTATTTACCCAGCTCTAAAAAATTAAACTAGAAAGTCTGTTCAAATGGACTCCTCAAGGATATTTCAAGCACTTCCTCTTGCAGCTGGGGCTGAGAAAGACACAAGTAGAGCCCTTTGCACGGTCTGTCGGGCAGTTCAGTTTCTGATTCTGGATAGCACCTAAATGTGTCATGAGACATGACAGTTAGAGGCAGGTCCAGAGGGGCGCAGTGGTGGAACTGCACTCCACTTTGGGGTTGGTCTACACCATGGGAGCCTCCTGGGATTTTTTAAAGTCCCTAAAGCAGGTGAATATTTTCTCTCCCTTCCCCTTCTTCCCTCAATCTGCCTTTCCCCTGCTGTCCCTGGGGACGGGAAAGCACCGGAGCCCTTCCTGTCCCCTGTGAGAGGGCTGGACTCAGTTGGGCATGCAGACAGGGGCAGCAGGGATGGACAGGGGTGGGGTTCCCCTTCCCCTTCCCCTCTTGCCACTGTCCCCTCCCCAGCTGATCCTACCCTCTGCTCAGCCTGGCTGCCTCTGGAACTTCCTCGCCCATGAACAGTGGAGAAAGCAGCAAAGCAGCAGTGTCAGGCAGGGGAGTTGGGGGCGGGGGTGGGGGAGAGAGAGAGAGGAGGGGAAGGGGCCTATGAGCGGGAAGGAGAAGGGAAGAGGGATTTTCATCTGCTTTAGAGGCTTAAAAAAGTTAGAGCTCCAGCAGCGTGGTCTGCCTGCACTGGTGGGGTGGAGGAGACTGGGTGCAGGTGGTGCACCCACCCTTGCAGTGCAGGCTGCTGCTTCTGCACTCCCTTTGGGGAATCCTGAATCTGCCCCTGAAGGAAAAAGAAATGTAACCATAGTATGTGCTGGTGCTTTATTTTCTGGTGTTCTGGGTGGATTTTTGTTTGTTGGGAGTTTCTATTTTTGCTTTGTTCTTTTTCCCTATAAACTCCAAACATAAGGCTGGGTTGGAGTATTGGAGAAAAGAGGGTTTAGGATCTTTGTATTACATGTTTAAATGGCTAGGGCAGATAGGCCCAGATATCAGTGGTGATTTGAGGTGAAGGTCTTCTGTGGTGACAGGGGAGATTCATGCACATGGCAGTAGACAGATGGAGGGAAAAGCAGCAGCAGCAGCTGGGTGGGAAGTGCTACCCCACCATGGAGAGAGTAGCATCCTTTTGATCCACTGACCCCTAGAGCAAGGGACACCCCCTGAGATGGGCATCTAGGCCTTGGGGATAGCTGTGCTACCTCTGTTCTTCCCAGCTGACCTCCAAGGATGGCGCGGTGATCTCCATGGGGGCGGATGTCCAGTTCCGGGTGTGGGATCCGGCGCTATCTGTCATGATGGTGAAGGACCTCATTGCAGCCACCCGAATGACAGCTCAGAACGCCATGACGAAGAACTTGCTCAAGAAGAGCCTGAGGGAGATCCAGACTGAAAAGCTGCGGATTGGAGACCAGCTCCTGGTGAGGAATCCCCTCACCTAGCTCCTGGGCTGTGACACTGGTGGCTCAAAGCTCCGCTGCAGCCTGCCCTTCACCATCTCGGTGGAGACGTTCCTATACCTTTGAAATAAGGGATGCTATCCCAAAGATTTCGGTCCAGATTCTCCAGCCAAAAGTGTGTGCGCCATTGGGTGCTGTCTGGGGTCAGGATGTCTGCTAAGCATTCTGGGGAAACTGAGACAGGGGGCTGCCAGGGCATGAAGGGGGTAAATGGACAGAAGAGAAGTCCTCAGATAGGGAATGGATGGCAACCTGCACAACACCTTTTCCTTCCATCCAACTTGCTCCAGCTTAGCTCAGTGGGGAAAAAGACCCATCTACTTACTCCTGGAATGTGTTGCTATTCTTACTAAGATCTGGATGCTCCTTTCTTTGTTCCTGATTTCTTTAGCTTGAAATCAATGATATGACCAAGTCCTGGGGCCTGGAAGTGGATCGGGTTGAACTGATCTTGGAGGCAGTTCTGCAGTCTCCTCAAGAGAGTCACTCAGGACCTCTGACCGTGATGCCTCCTATCCCTGGACTGGAGGGGCTGGATAGCACCATTCAGCATCTGGCCATGCATTTCTTTAGCAACAGTATGGCAACAGCAGCCAATCCAAATGTTGCTCCAGAGACAGGTAACTAGCACCAGCCTTGCCTCTCCCTTTGCTCACAGCTGCATTCCTTTCATTACCATGTGGTCAGATTCAGAAGTTCTTACTTGGTTTTCTATTAGAAACTTCCCTGAGACCAGTGGAGTTATGCCAGGGATGAATCTGGTCCCACTGTATCCTTTGGGGAAATTGTTCTGCTGAGTAGTGGGAGAGAGTGATGGTATCTCTGGTCACCACTATGAGGTGAAGAGATTGAATGAGGACTGGGTCAGTGGGCTATTAGAGCACCTATAATTTATAGGCCTGCAAGGGACCTCAGAGGTCATCTAGCTTTGATAAAGGGGCTGGTGTTCCTGTCACCAAACCACTGCTGACAGCTGTTTATCCAGTCTCTTAAAATCTTCCAGTGAAGGAGATAGCACAGTTTCCCTGGGCAGGTTGTCACAGTGCCCAACTTATGTGACATTCAGGAAGGTACTTCCTGTAGTGGTTGCTCATCTTAGCCTCAGCAGCTAGGCAGAACCTTTTTATGGTTATCTTTTTATGATAACCTTGCAGATAGTTGAAAACTGGTGTCATGTCACCCATTCATCTTCTCCAGACCCAATGTTCTCAGCTCCCCTAATCTCTGCCTTTAGGCTCAGCAGTGCTGGCAACAGAGAAAAAAAAGAGAATATATGTTTTTAATCATAAACTGTGTGTACGAAATGGGAATCTCAGAAAGCCACGTGGCAGAGGGGAACCACAGGTTAAAGTTTAGATGAACATTTCAAGCATCTGAATCACCTGGATCTAGGAATCTGCCTAGGAACCGGGACCTAGGAATTGGCCTAGGAATCTGGACAGAGGGTTTTCTTGTGAAATGCCAAGTTTCTGGTTAATCTGTGAAGCCCATGGGACTTCTTAGAGAATTTTAGCTGTGTCAGTTTATCTTTAAGAGTTTTCCCTCATTTGTGACATCGAAAACCTCCCTGTCTCCACAGTAGGCAGTGCCCCGTTCAGCTATTTGCAGTCTGGTTTAAGCTATTAGTGACGGAGGTTGAGGAATGAAAGAAAGTGAATCCACCTAATGCTCCCACCAACCAAGAAATCGTTATTGGCTAAGTAGACCTTCTACTTGCTCAGGAGATCTCGGCTAGACAATAGCTTCTACATCCATGCAGCTTCTGGGCTGAGAGCTAACTTCACCCCGATCAGTCTGTATCCAAACCATCCTTTCCTTACCCCCTCCTTTATACCTTTGTTCTCAGCTGAAAGTGTGGAGACAGTGAATGAGGTGGAACCACCTGCTCCTACCATTACCACCACTACCACCACTGCTGCTACCACCAGAAGGAAACTGGGTGCTGAGGAGCTGCTGTCCACTGTGGAGCTCTTCCTGTCTGAGTCCTTGGTCAGCCAGGTTGGAGCTTCCTACCAGTTTAACATCCTACTTCCAAGTGGAGCCCGGAGCACCTATTTCATAGATCTCTCTACAGGTCACTATTACTGGTTCTCCCCTTGTTTGAGTGTCTGCTGGGTGGGTAATGTGTGTCCTTTCTAATTTTTCCACAAATACCAGGGGACTCAGTATTAGACCTGGCTGCATTTCCGCCCCCGCTGGAAAGTTTGGAGTTTTCGGTGAGAAATCAAGACATGTTTATTCTTGAAGACTGCCACAGTGCCTCACAGTAGTTATAGTTCAGGTGTTTTGCATTCCTATTCTATTCTGTATGCCAGGTTTTCTGGTTGGAAGCAGTTCAAAGTCTCACCTCACAGTGCTTTGCATTGCCATGGTGCCTGAAGGGAGACAAGTCCCAACTGAGAGCCTGGCCTATCTGAGACTATGGAAATATGAAGTCACCTCAGTTACAATTCCTGCAGGGACACTGCAGCAGCATTTCCAAATCAAATTGTTTTGGGTTTACAGTTGAAAACATTTTGTTTTTAGTAGGTTGATTTTTGACTCCCGTCCCCCCAAAATCATCACCATATTTTCTTACATGTAACCCACAACTTTCCCACCAAAACCAGCTTGTGAAATTTGGGGTGCACCTTATATCTGAGAAAACTGGATCCCCGCGGGTCCAGAAATTTGGCAGTGGGGAAGTGGTGACAGCATTAATTGCTGCAGCTCTGGGAGCTCCAGCAAATAACATTGTCACCACTCCCTCACTAACAAATTTCTGGACCTGTAGGGAGGCCTCCAGCTAGATGACATGGCTTCATGCACTAGACTGGGCCAGGTGCCAGGTCAACTCAGCACACTGGGTTGGAGGCAGGACGTGGCCCCAGACCCAATGGGCAGCCCTGGATGTGGTGCACAGCGTTGGATTCTGCACTCTGGGTCAGAGCCAACACTGGGACCTAGATCTTGTGTGCTGTGTAGGGTCAGACTCAGTGCATTGGGTCAGAGTCAGTATATAAATATAGACCTAGCATGTGGCACAGGTTTGGAGCTGGTCTGGCGGGGTGGAGGCAGCACATGGCTCTGGGCCCAGCTCACAGGTCAGTCCATGGGCTCCAGGGCTGGCATCAGGCTTGGCTCCCTAGCTGCTGCTATTTGGTTTCTTCAGGGAATTTCTTTTCTGCACCTGTCTCTTAAAAAAAAGGTGCATATTATACATTTGGGTGTAGTATATGCAAAAAAATACAGCATTATTTCCAGAAAGAAGATATTTTTGGTGAAAAATGTGTTTTATCCAAAACCCCAATTTTCCATCAAAACCAACTTTGCTGGCACATGATGAGCTTTCCTCAGAGTAGGAATGAACTTCCTGTCTACCCGTCTGCATAACAAAATGCCAGAGCATGCAGTTGAGGATTCTTGTCTAATCCACAGCCTGCTCTATGGGGCGGCAATGGGAACACACTCCTCCCTGGCTGTGGGCCCAAGCACTCTGCCTGAGTAGCCTCAATCTCAGTCCTAGTGGCTGTGGATCCTCTTTGCCCAGTACCTCATAGCACTGTAGATGTGAATTGGGACTGTTTGGTCTCACCAATGAGAACAAGGAGGTGGACTTCCTTTCCCATCTAAACCGGGACAAGTTTGAGGGACACATTAGCATTTTCCTACACAGTTTCGCCATGCTAAGGAAGAAAAGACTCTTAAGTTTCCACAGGGATCAGGGCCAGCACCTTCCATTCAAGTTAAAGGTGCTTCATATGACCATGGAAAATGACGTCAGGGTTCTCCAAGGCGTTTGATGTGAAATCCCAAGTTCTGATCTCTCTCTCCCTTTCCCCTATGTCCATGTTTTACAGGCAGTGGGAAGGTTGGCTGCGGAGTACCGGAACACAACCCCAATGTAATCCTGGAGATGACAGAAAAAGACCTGCAGGCCTTCTTCTTAGGTGAACTCCGTCCTCTGACTGCTTACATGAGTGGGAGACTGCGAGTCAAGGGTGACCTGAATGTTGCCCTGAAGCTGGAGGAGCTCTTCAAGGCAATGAAACAACGTAGATAAAGAGAGAGAGAGAGAGTGTGTGTGTGTGTGTGTGTGTGTATCTTTATGTGTGTGTGCATATATGAAAGACGAAGTGATGGTGGAAGAAGTGAAGAATCTGGCTTATGGAGAAAGCAAAGGCTCCCAGGTCCTTCAGTTCTAGCGAGCAGTTTCTTTTCTGTTTCACATGCTGGGGATGTTGATCATTGCCCAAATGAGCAGGGAAAGAATCCTTGCGTGGGAGCGCCACGAGGAACTGAAAATCAGATCCCAGCAAAATGCCCTTCGCATAAGGCTCTGATGAGGGAGGTGGGGTACAAGAGAGATCATTCCTAAGTCCACAGGCAGTTGTAGGGTCCCCATCCCCTGATGCCTTCAGATCAAGACTGGAGGCCTTTCTGGGAGAGTGATGTCAAACACAAGCTCATGGGCTCAGTGTTGGGGTAGCTTTGATTAAAGTTCTGATCCTCTTTCTAGAAGAGGTCAGACTAGATGAACTAAAGGTCTCTTCAAGCCTTAAAATCTGAGTCTGAGAATGAGTTTGCAAGAGGGAAATCACCAGTTGAAAGGCCTGATTCTCAGCTGTATTTCAACCCAAAGTTCTGATTTTTGTAGATGAAAATGCCAGTACAGAACTGGCACCCAGTTCTCCCTCCCTTGGAATTCACAGTATTCCTTAATGCAAGTGAATTGACATATATCCTGACTGGGGAAAGTGAGGCAACTATAGTCTCAATAGCCCACTGTTCTGTGGGCTGTCATGACCTGCGAGGTGAATTCCATAACTATCATTCATGCAAACAACAAACAACCCACTATCTTCCACCAAGGGAGGTGGATTTGCAAACCTCCAGGACTGCAGTTACACATCCAACTGCTTGATCTGGGGCTGCAAAGATGCATTTGGATTTCTACCTACAAATATTTGCATGCAAGCTGATTTGCAGGTGCCTATTGAAAAAGACCATTCTTTAGACACTTTGAGCCATAAATCTCTACTGAAAGAATAGGAGAAGCAGCTGATGGGCATGTATTATAGTAAGGAATCTCTTCAGTTTCTTGACCTTCCATGCACAGGTTGTTTGCAATTAGTGGTTGCTCTAATTTGTGTTTCAAGTGTTCTGCATGCCTCTCGTTAGGTGTAGATGTGGATGTGTACATGAACTGTACATATATTTATTTATTTTGTAATCTGTATATTAATTATTGATTTTCAATAAACGTGTTACATGTGGTCAGACATTTGATCGTGATGATTTGATCATTCATTTATGGTAAGTGGATGAGCTGGAAGCTATTCCCATTTGTTTGTTAGGTGACCAAAACACTACTCTCTCTCATTTCCCTATATGTAAATGAGGATAACACTTTGTGAAACACTTTGAGATCCCTGGATAAAATGGATGGGAAAGAACTAGGTTTTTATTATTAACAAGTGCATAATACATTTTGCTATGTAATCATTCTGATTTTGTTTTCTGTAGACTGCTACTATAGGTTTCTGGTGGTCTTCCGATTACAGCAACAGGTGCCATGATATGATGTGATATGAGATCTATATAGCCTTTGGAGAGGGTATATCCACTGTGAAAACAGGGCAGCTACAAAGAGCTATGGAGCTGAGCAGCCAAATCTGCTGTTGGTTTAAACCACTGCTTCATGGAAATCAACAGACGTATGAGGATCTGGCCTCAGAGTGGTGTTGATCTTCCCACAACATGTTCCTTCAGACTATAAGCTCTTAAGGTTGGAGAATGCCGTTAGCTGTCTGAAGAGTGCCCAGAATCATGAAGAGTTAATCTATTTGAACTCAGGGCATGTTTGCAAAGGTGATAATATGCACCTTCTTTTTAAGAGACAAGTGCAGAAAAGAAATTCCCTGAAGAAACCAAATAGCAGCAGCTAGGGAGCCAAGCCTGATGCCAGCCCTGGAGCCCATGGACTGACCTGTGAGCTGGGCCCAGAGCCATGTGCTGGCTCCAACCTACCAGACCAGCTCCAAACCTGTGCCACATGCTAGGTCTATATTTATATACTGACTCTGACCCAATGCACTGAGTCTGACCCTACACAGCACACAAGAGGGTGCCTTGAGGTCCTTTCACAAAGTGCCCATGCAGTATAAGCACTATTAGTAGGGCTGTGTGATGCTTTGGGTGCTGATTTGATTCGGAGGAGATTCAGCCTGATTCAGTGGCCGAATCTCTGAATCTGAATTGAATCAGGGGACCAATTAAAAGTTCTGGATCGATTCAAAGCTCTCTAAATTGATTTGGAAAAGATTCAGAGAACTTCGGCAATTCAGGCAGTCCCCACCCACTGCAGCAGGGAGCTGGACCCAGACTCCATGCTGGAAAGTAGGGGGAAGGGAAGGGGGGGCTGGACGAGGGGGGACCCCTGCCAGGTCTCATCCCCTGCCTGCTTCCCCAGCCCCCCCGCCATGGCTGCCCTGCCTACCCCAGCTCCTGGTGCCCACTGCCCCCCACTACATGGGTGGGCTCTGCTATGAGCCCCCTGACCTCCACCTGCTCTCCCAGCCCCCCCATGGCTGCCCCACCTGACCTAGCTCCAGCCCTTTAAGGAAAAAAACACCCCAGACTCACCAGCTCCTGCAGTGGTCTCGGGGCTTCTGGGGACTCATGCCGAGCCCCCCATGCAGCGTGGGGCAGTGGTGGGCAGCGGGGATCGCCCCCTGCCCAGCAGCACCCAGAGTTGGGGCTTGTTTTTTTTTTCCAATGCCAAGAGCTGGGCTGGACGGGGAAGCCGGTGCCAGGCTGGGAGAGTGGGCCTGTGTGATTTGGTCAAATCGATTTGGGACGATGATTCGAATTACTGTCCCCTGAAATGGCTGAATCCAAAGCGAATATTAGCTGCTTTGCACCTAACTATTAGGTGCACAAATATGATTCACAAGATAAACCCAGAGATTTCAAATAGGAATCCAGAGTGTTAAAAGCATTCTGGTCTGTTGTGGTTTTTCCAAATTCTTTACAAGAGAAGAATTGCTCTAGTATTTTTCTGTAATCAAAAGCAGAGTGAATGTGAAGAGGTGACATTTTCTGAGGGTCACCTTAAATGTATCAAGGGATGCCTTGAGACTAAAAAGTTTGAGAACCACTTGTTTAATAGTACTATTATGCTGTACCTAACCTAAGGGATCTGTCTCCCGCCTATAGGCCTTTTTCACTATTGCTGAATGGTCATGAGATGTTTTTAAAAGAAAAAGGAACATAACAGCATAATCAAGAAAAATCAAAATTATTTCATAGATTTCATAGACATTAAGGCTGGAAGAGACCTCGGAAGATCATTAAGTCCAGCCCCCTTCCCCAGGGGCAGGAAGTCAGCTGGGGTCATAGGATCCCAGCAAGATAAACTTCCAATTTTCTCTTGAAGGTGTGCAAAGTAGGTGCTTGAACCTCTGATGGCAGGCTGTTCCAGACCTTGGGGGCTCAGACAGTAAAGAAGTTCTTCCTTATGTCCAGCCTGAAACAGTCTTGCAGGAGTTTATAACCATTAGATCTTGTTATCCCTTGGGGTGCTCTGGTGAACAAATGTCCCCCCAGATCCTGGTGGACACTGCTTATAAACTTATAGGTGGCCACCAGATCGCCCCTGAGCCTGTGCTTTTCCAAGCTGAAGAGTCCCATAGCTCTCAGCCTGTTATCGTAAGGTCTGTGTGGCAGGGCACTGTGTGTGCCTGTCACTTCAGGGGTCTGGAGCTGGCAGCCACCAGGTGCCTGGTGAGGGCAGCCATTTTTGGAATCAGGGGTTGCCCATACAAGCAGGCAGTTCTGTTGTGAGAGGCCAGGCAACAACATCGCCTGGCCGGAGGGCTGCAGAGCTACAACTGGAGGTAAGGGAGGAGCTGTAGGGGATGGCTAGGAGGCTCCTGGTCCTGGGTATGACTTAAAACTGCACCCTGCCGGGAGTGGGTGGTCTGGTGGGGCTCCCAGTGGCGCGGGAGCCCCCAGGAAACGCCAGGCCAGTTACCACCCTGGTGAAAGGTGGGTTGGGGCACCTTAACCCCTAGCCCCCACAACCAGGTGAGTTACCCCTTGCTTTGGAGGGCCCAGAGGGTGGACCCTTGGAGAGAGGAAAGGGCCATTGAATCAGGGCCTGTCTGAGTTTCCCTTGACTGTCCCATGCTGGGGCCAGGACCGGAAGGGTCAAAGGGCCAGGGGCCCACCATGAGGGATGCCCAAGAGCTGAGGGCCTGGGGTCCTGACTGGCCTGGAGGTGGGCCAGGGCTAGATGAGCTGAAGGTCTCGGTGGGGGGGACCACACCCAAAGGGGAACCAGCTCAGGGAGCTATGCTGCCCAGTATGATGGCAGAAGAGTACGCCTGAAGTGGGAAATCCAGGTGGGTTCAGTAGTAGGGTTCTGGGACCCAGTGGGGGGGCTGGTGATTAGAGGAACATCTAGATGCCATCTGCGAGGCTTGGGCTGCGGTGTAGGGGAGGAAAGGAGCTGCAGATAGTGCCCCCTGGCATCAGGGCAGTAAATGGGCAGCCTCCCGCTCAACTAACATCTACTAATTAATCAATTACCATCAAGACGTGGGGGGTGAGAATGCGGGCGGTTGGCCCAAGAACAGGTGGGTGGGCCACAGAGATCGGCCCTGAGTAGGCCCCCTGTTACAGTCTGTTCCTGACCTCTGATCATGCATGTGGCTCTTCTCTGCACTCTCAAACTTCTCCATATCCTTTTTGAATTGTGGAACCCAAAACTGGACGCAGTACTCCAGCTGCGGCCTCACCAAGGCCCAGTACAATGGGAGAATGACATCCTGGGATTTGCTTGAGAAGCATGTATGGATGCAAGCCAGTGTTTTGCTCGCTTTAGAGGTCAACCTGGATCACCCTCCTGTCCTCAGGTGTGGATGCTTTACCCCAGAGTTTGGTATCATCTGCGAACTTGGCCAGTCCGCTTCTGACTCCAATGTCCACATCATTAATGAAGATGTTGAACAATACAGGTCCAAGAACAGAGCCTTGAGGGACCCCACTGGTCACAGGGCACCATGACTATTGACTTCTGTCAACCACCACCCTCTGGGTCCAACCACGGAGCCAGTTCTTCAGCCAGAGGATCGTGGTGGACCCGAGACTGCAGTTGGCCAGTTTTGCCAAGAGATGATCATGAGATACCAGATTGAAGGCTTTTTTAAAGTCAAGATATACAACATCAATCTCTTCTCCCTTGACCAGGTGATAGGTCACCTGGTCATAAAAGGAAATGAGATTGGTTAAGCAAGACCTACCTGCAACAAACCCATGCTGGCTATCCCTCAGGATGTTGCTGTCGGCCCATCCATTAAGAATGGCCTCTTTGATAATCTTTTCTAAGACCTTCCCTGGGATAGAGGTCAGGCTGATGTAGTTTGCTGGATTCACTTTCCTCCCTTTCTTGAAGATAGGCACCACATTGGCCTTCCAATTGTCAGGCACTTCACCAGAGCACCAGGAGTTCTTGAAGATCTGTGCCAGGGGCTGAGCTATGATGCTAGCCAGCTCCTTGAGTACCCTGAGGTGCAGATTGTGAGGGCCGGCTGACTTGAAGGTGTCTAGCCTCTCAAGGTGTTCCTTCACGAGGTCAGCATTGATGGATTATCTATAAACCTCAACAGAAAAGAGGTCCTTGAGGTAGGCCTTGTCAATGGTAGACAGACAACAACATAAGAAACCTGAAGGTACTTGATGTAGGACAAGATTGGGAGGTTATATCTCATGATAGACGAGAATGGAGATACATCATCAAGGAGGCCAAAGTGCTATAAGTGCTGGTTGGCCCATCAAAGCAAGTAAGTAGGTGACATAATGACTTATCCAACTGGACTGATAGACAGTCTGGGTCTGTCCTCTGCCTATACATGATGCTTCAAAGGAAGATAAAGCCTATCCTGATTATGCCTCATTGACTGTGCAATGGGTAGACATGTTCCTTAAGAGCATGGTGACCTGGCAGCAGAGCTCCCTCTTCCGATACATCCGCGCACAGCTCTATGGCCTCCCTGTCTCTTGGGCCCTCAGGTGAGGTGTAAAGTACCAGGTATATCATTTATGTGTGACTTGTACCCTGCTGTCCCTTATACCTGTGAGCACACAGTAGGCAGAGGCTGGCATTTTCCCCTCAATGGGTGGACCAGACTGGTGCTTAAGGCAACAATTTAACAGCGGCATTGGACAGATGGGCAAACTGTATGGTTCTTTGTCAAGCAGAGTCCTGGGGAGGGGCAGAGGTAACATTTGCAGTACTTCAGAGTGTTTCATGGGGAACCCTGCATCACTGCTGTGGCAAATGGGGAATGGCTTGTCTAATTCTCTAGAGTCACTTAGCTGATGGGCTTGAACACCTGGCCCCTTCCAAGTCTTCACAGCCAAGCTCTTGGCAGCTACAAGACCATGGCAGGGTATGTTTGCCTTTTAAGTCACCCAGAATGTGGTGAGTTTGGGGCCAGAGAAGAGCTAGCAGGAGGGGATCCAGGATCCACAGAAATAAACAGGACCGTGGAAACACTTTCCTGGGAGAGCAGATTGGAGAGAAGGGAGCTGGCCCCTAGCATCCAGCCCTGCCCTACTGCATCCTTCCTGTTGCATGAAGGGGCATTAGTTTATGCCGCCTACACAAGACCCCTCACCTCATGCCCTGTCAGAGACACGTCTGAAACGTTTTGTTGATCCACCTTAGTAAAAACATCTCTTGGGGGTTGTTGCAGTTGGGGAAATTGGGAACTGGCCAAGGATGTAGTAGACTCTGCCCACACTTGGAGCTGTCTCTGTCACCAGCCCCCAAGGGGAGCTTGTTCTGCTTCTCTACTAGGAAGACTTTCTGCCAACAGGATCTGGAGCAGAATCAGAGCAACGCATTGAGCCTCTGAATGAGCCGTTCAAGATAAACAGAGATCCAGGGCTGATCCAGGCTTCCCTTGTGCTTTGAGAGGCCAGGAGGCAGAAGGAAAAATCCATGACAAGCTTTATGCCCAGGAGGGCTGGAAGATTTCAGACTATCCTCCCCTCCCCTGCCGGATGCATCACACATCAAAGCTGGGGTTGATCACCAGAGGGCAGGGCAGGAGCGCAGACTCTTCTCTCTGTCTGCCTGATACCCGGAAGCAAAGCTACTTTCATTTTTGAGGAAACAAAACTGAGCTGCAACCAAGCTCAGAAAGCATCTGGGTGCCCCAGAGGAACCTGCAAGTGCAGATCATGGATGCCACGTCTCAGGAGCCTCCGGCTGACCAGGATTCCTCAACCCCTGTAAGTTTGTCACCGTGACCGGACCTTCTGCTAGAGGCTCTTGCTTGGGGTTAAGAATCAAGCTGGTAGATTAAATGTACAACAATGACGGAGGGGAAATAAGTGGTATATGAGGCTGAACAGCTCCTAGGCCCTGGCTGCCTCATCTCCTTCTGTGGGTGGTGCTGTGGCTAGAGCATGTGCCATTACACTGGGGCGGGGGATGTGGCAGGGCTGCCCCCTGGGCAGCGGAGATGGCTGTAGGAAGGGTGTGGAGGAAGCCAGTATGGAAGGGGGCAGGGGAGGCAGAGACAACCAGGTGGCAGGGAGGTAGTGACTGGGCAACAGCCCTGTGAACTCTCCAGCATGCAGATAGCAGCGCAGGCTAGGAAATTGCTGCCCCAGGGCCCTTTTTGTGTCCCTTTTCAAAGCTCTGTAGTTGAGAGGAGGGCTGCTTTGGGAGCTTGCGGGGCAGGGGGAGGAGGCAGGAGAACTTGGCCCCACTTCTGGTGACTGCCACAGACAGCCGGTATGGCTCTGGGCAAGCCACTCGGTGTATATGGGCCTCTGTTCCCCTGGCAAACAATGGGACAAATGGTTCCCTACCTGATAGGGGCTCTGTAAAGATGAATCAATCAGTGTCCATGAGACATTCTTGGATGCGGTAGTAATGGGGGGATCTGTGGAAGTTCTTTAGGGAGGTGGCCTGAGGCTGGGTGCGATAGGGCTTTCAGCTCGGACTCACCCCTCAGAGCCCCCTGTGAGGAAAGAGGCAGTATGGTGCAGAGACAAAGAAAGGGGCCTGTGCACTATGGATGGGATGAAGACTGGGGGCTGGCAGCTTATTTGGGAAAGCTTGAGGGAGAAACAATGTGGTGAGCCTGTGGCGAGCGGTGAGGGAGAGGGAAAGTGTAGATGGGAGGGGCTCTGGGCATGTCTACACATGCATTTAGGCATGCCGAAATTTAACGTGCATTAAGGTGATTTAGGCTCACATTTACGCGTGCATGTGTTAAAACGCATTAACTCCGTGTGTGCTTACTCATAGTTCCTCACTATTCATAGTAAAGTTAGTTCCAAGTCAGTCCGTGTGCAGTGTTAATGTGCCTTAACACGTCTACATGTGCATTAATGCACTTTAGCTATTCATGCCTAAATTTAATACCTGCTTTTGCACGTATCAAACTTAGGCATGAATAGCCTAAAAATGCCATTTTTAAGGTGCATTGAGGGCCTGCACATGTAGATGTGCACTTTTAATGTGCCTTAAATTGGGCTAAAATGCTTTAAATCAGCACGTGTAGACATGCCCTGTGTCCTATACCCTCATGCTTGTGCCCAGCCAGTAGTCTGCTCCATCATGCTCTTTACATGCCTCTACCTCCCAAGCAGTGGTGGGAAGGACTAGCTACAGACTCTCACAACCAGGGTTTCCCTCAGCCATTGGACTCCCCAGTCAAGCTAGCTTTGGCTTGCTACATTGGGCCTTTCCAGATGTCTCTATTGCTTGGTATCCATCAAATGACCTTCTAGCAGCACTAGCAACACCTCTTTCTCCCTGCCCAATGGTCATCTCCCATTGGGATAATATCATAGTATGATTAATGCCAGGTATCTCTGTCCCTTTCTTCTCCCTAAAGGTGGTGGAGGAAGAGTTCCAGTTTCTGCTCTGTGAGGGATGCCGGAATGAATCCAGCGAGCCCAAGCTCCTTTCCTGCCTTCACACCTTATGCACTGGCTGTCTGCAAGAGAACAAGCCCATGGGCCAGTGCCCCATCTGCCGGGCTCCTATCTTGCAACCTAATGAGATCCCAGACCAGGACAACGTACTGTATGCCAGGCTGCAGTCCCAGATGAAAACCTATGAAAAAATAGTCAGGGGCACAGGCTTAGGGTGTGGCAACTGCAAGGCAGAGGGGGAGTTCTGGTGCTCAGACTGTGAGATGTTTATGTGTCTCACGTGCTTTAATTTCCATCAGAGGGTCCTGAAGAAGGAGAGCCATGAGGCCAGGCATGTGAAGGATCTTCAGGCTGGATCTCTCAGGGAGTTTCTTGAGGGTGCCCAGAAACGCTATAACTTGTTCTGCGAAGTGCACGAGGCTCAGATTCTAAGGTAACATTCCCAACCTGGGATATTTTTTCTTCAGTCATATATGGCAGGAAAAGTTGCAACATAGAATCATAGAAACAATGGACCAAAAGGGACCTGGAAGATCATCAAATCAGGTCCCCTGCCGTAGGCAGGAGGTTGAGCTCAAACTAGCTCAATGAGGTGCTTATCCAGCCTCCTCTTGAACACCTCCAAGGATGGCAACTGTACCACCTCTGCCAGGAGTGTGTTCCAGGTTCTAGTTACCCTGCCAGAGAAGAAGTTCTTCCTTATGTCCAGCCTAAATCCGCTCTCTGTTAGTTTGTGTCCATTGGTCCTCATCCTCCCAAGGGTCTCATTCTAAAGAGTTCCTCCCCCAGATCTTGGTGCTCCCCCTTGATATACTTGTAGGTAGCTATCAAGTCACCTCTGAGCCTCCTCTTACTCAGACTGAACAAGCCTAGTTCCCAGAGTCTCTCCTCATATGGCCTATCCTCCAGGCCCCTGATCGTGAGGGTGGCCCTTCTCTGCACCCTCTCAAGATTATCCGCATCCTTCCTGAAGTGCGGTGCCCAAAACAGGGCACAGTACTCCAGCCTCAGTCTAACCAATGCTGAGTAGAGAGGGAGAAGCACCCCTCTGGATCTGTTGGCAATGCATCGCCTGATGCACGCTAAAGTTCTAGCGTTTGCCCTGCTGGCGACTTCATCACACTGTTGGCTCATATTCATCTTCCAGTAAATTGTGACCCCCAGGTCCCATTCAGAAGCTGTGCCATCCAGTGGGCTGCCACCTATCCTATAGTTATGGTGATGGTTCTTCTTACCCAGATGCAGGATCCAGCACTTTTCCCTGTTGAACCTCATCTGATTCTGATCAGCCCATAAATCCAGTCTGTCAAGGGCATCCTGGATCCTTGTCCTATCCTCTGGTGTGCCCGCATTTCCCCACAGCTTGGTATCGTTGGCAAACTTAATCATAGAGCATTCCAACTCTTCATCCAAGTAATTAGATTTCATACGTGTTTGGGCTGGAAAGGACCTCGAAGATCATCAAGTTCAGCCCCCTGCCCCAGGGGCAGGAAGTCAGCTAGGGTCATAGTATCATAGTAGCTAGGATTGGAAGGGACCTAAACAGATCAAGTCCGATCCCCTGCCTTGGGCAAGAATGGATGCTGGGGTCATATGACTCCAGTTAGGTGTCTATCCAGCCTCCTCTTGAAGACCCCCAAGGTAGGAATGAGTGCCACTTTTCTTGGAAGTTGGTTCCAGGTCCTAGCTGCCCTAACCATAAAATAATGCCTCCTGATGTCTAGCCTGAACCTGCTCTCTATCAACTTGTGGCCGTTATTCCTAGTTACCCTGTGTGTTGCTGGGGGGAACAGGGCATCTCCTATTCCCTACTGATCCCCCTGGTGAATTTGTAGATGGCCACCAGATCCCCCCTCAGCCTTCTCTTGTGGAGGCTGAATAGGTTCAGGCCCTCTAGCCTCTCCTTGTAGGGCCTGCCCTGCTGCCCCCTGATCATACGAGTGGCCCTCCTCTGGACCCTCTCAATGCTGTCCACATCTCTCCTGAAGTGCGGTGCCCAAAACTGGACACAGTACTCCAACTGCGGCCTCACCAGTGTCGCATAGAGGGGGAGGATCACATCCCTGGACCTGCTTGTGATGCATCTGTGGATGCATGACAAGGTGCGATTAGCCTTCCTGACAGCTTCCTCGAATTGGCAGCTCATGTTCAATCTGGAGTCAACGATGACTCCAAGATCCCTTTCTGACTCTGTGCGGACGAAAAGGGAGTTCCTCAGTCTATAGGTATGCTGCTGGTTCCTTCTCCCTAGATGTAGTACCCTGCACTTGTCCACAATGAATTCCATCCTATTCTCATCTGCCCATCCCTGTAACCTGTCCAGATCTAGCTGGATGCTGTCCCTCCCTTTGGGCATGCCCACCTCGCCCCACATCTTGGTGTCATCAGCGAACCTGGACAACGTGCTTTCCACCCCATCGTCCAAGTTGTTGATAAAGGTGTTGAACAGTATGGGCCCGAGGACTGAGCCCTGGGGAACCCCACTGGCCACATCCCTCCGTGTCAAAAATGATCATCCACCAGCTCTCTCTGTGTACAATCGTCCAGCCAATCAGCCACCCATCTGACTGTGTAGGCATCAATGCCACAGTCACTTAGTTTTTTGAGAATGGGGTGAGAGACAGTGTCAAAGGCCTTCTTAAAGTCCAGGGTCAAAGGATCCCAGCGAGATAAGCATCCAATCGTTTCTTGAATGAGTCCAGAGTAGGTGCCTGCACAACTTCTGGAGGGAGTCTATTCCAGGTCCTGGGGGCTCTGACAGTAAATACATTTTTTCTTGTGTCCAGCCATAAATGGTCTTGGAGGAGTTTATAACTGTTGGTCTTTGTTTCTCCTTGGGGCGCTCTGGTGAATAGACATTCCCCCAGATCCTGATGTACACCCCTTATGTACTTATAAGCAGCCACCAGGTCCCCCCTGAGCCTGCACTTTTCCAGGCTGAAGATTCCCATGGCTCTCAGCCTCTCTTCATAAGGCCTATTCTCTTGCCCTCTGATCATGCATATGGCTCTCCTCTGGACTCTCTCAAGCTTCTCAACCATCCTTCTTGAATTGCGGAGTCCAGAATTGGATGCAGCACTCCAGCTGCAGCCTCACCCAGGCCAAGTACAGTGGGAGGATGACATCCTGAGATTTACTTAAGAAGCATCTATGGATGCAATTCAGAATTTTATTTGCTTTACTGGCTGTGAAATCGCATTGGTGGCTCATGTTCATCTTGTGGTCAATCATGACCCCCAAGTCTCTTTCAGCAGTGGTGCTAGCAAGCATAGCACTGCTGAGCCTATTAGCATGCTGCAGGGATTTTTCCCCGAGGTGGAGTACCTTATATTTATCTGTATTGAATGTCATCAGGTTTGTATCCACTACTTACGAAGCTTATCCAAGTCAGCCTGGATTGCCGTCCCACGTCTTGCTAGGCAGGGCAGTCCCATTGGACTGATGAAAGACCGACATGAAGTACCCATTAAGCAGATTGGCCTTTTCCTGGGGGTCGGTTATCAGCTGTTCTGTTGGGTTC